TGGTGGACACCAATACCAGCTGCATTTGTCAGTGTTGGGCTGCCATGAAGTCTCCTTCCATAGTGGTTGACTTGAGCTTTGCTGTGTACAGAGAGGCACAAGAGATGCAGTCTTCCCTCCCAGGCACCACATTTTGTCCTTGGCTTCAGTGTCCTAGTGCTGAGGACTGCAGGAACACCCACACACAAGGACCTGTGCCCACAGACGCCCCCTGATCTCTCACAAGTCAGATGTGACATTACCATCAGTCTCAATTTGCTTATCACCCTCTTCTTTCTCCTTCTCCTCCTTCTCTTCCTCCTCCTCCTCCTCCCAGTCCTCTGTGGCCTTCAGAGGTCCTTCAGGGTGACATTCCATGATTTCTTGCTCAGGGGGAAGTGTAAGATCAGACCTGAAAATGAGAAGACACCAGATCAAAGAAAGGGCCACCACATTCCTGTTGCATCTTCCATTAACCACGCAGACATGGAGACACTTGAGAGGGCCTCTCAAGGCCACTGATTTCCAAAGCAGAATGTGCAACATCCTTGAGAGCTCTGTTAGGAAATGGAGTGACACAAGACCCCCATGGCCTGGGAGCACAAGAGAGGTCCCATCATTCTGCTCCAGGGCTTCCCAGTCCTAACTCTGAAAAAGTTGACTCCCTCACTGAAGACCATCTCTCATCTCTTCTTCCTGTTCATGAACGTGGAGAACAGACTACTCTCTCTTTAACCAACTGAACAAGGTTGGTTTGAATTCTAACCCCTGCCTTGCAGCTTGCTTGCAGACCCTCTCAGACCCATGTGAGGACATCTGCAATGCATAACCACCACCCCCATGGCCATTAAGTAAGGACACTACTGAGCAGCCCCAGCTCAGGTTAGAGCTCTGAGGAACCTCACTGAAGCACAGGAGGGGAAATCACTCCTCCTGTCCAGGACTTGAGAAGAAGATATTTGGAGGGCTTCAAGTCTCACCAAAAACATGGCTATGTCATAGCCTAGGACTTGTATGAATCTGGTACCCACTGAGGGACACTTTTCCTGTATAATCCATGTGTGGAAACTTCTGGGATATTTCCCTTTTGAAAATGCACCCAGAAGAAAGAGGTGAATCAAGGAAAATGTTATGAAAATGTTGCCTCAGCTCCTCAACCAACAAGAAGCCAACGTCCTGTGGCAACACAAAGACACCGCCAGGACCCACATGAAAATCAGGACGTTCTCAGTCTGATACCACCAGATGTCTCATCCCTGGGGTCTGAAGCAAAGACGTGAGAGCATTCCAGGGACATTTTTACCTTGCTGATAAAGTCTTTGTTCCACTCAGAGAAGACACAGCCACTCGGATGTCCTATAACAAAGTTTTCTTTGGCTAATATGAGTCCCTCAGCTTTTCAGGCAGAAGCTGCACAGCTCCAAGTTGACAAGGAGCAATAACACTGCCACGTGTTGCCCCATGCAAGCTGCCATCTCTCAGGTGCACACCAGGAATATGGTGAACTGAAGCTGCTGCTCCTGCTGCCCCAGCATCCCAAACGTGGTCCAAGGAGTTGATTCAAGAGCAGTAAGATCACCCCATGGCTGATAACAGGCAGGGAGATTGAATCTTGACTTTCTGTGAGGGGTGAGGTAGGATGGGACATGCAGTGGGCAGGGACTCTTTCTCTAGTGTCTGCTTTTGAACCCATCAATCATTTCTAGGACAGACAGTGGGATGCTGGGCGAGGCAGAGCCAGTCTCTCCAGGTGACTCTTCCTGGATTCTGCTATGTCAGCTAGACCACCGTGTAGGAGAGCAGGACCCTACAGAGTTGGCACTGCTGTAGACCATGACTGCCCCAGTAGCTGTGGGGATAGACCATCAGAAACCAGTTCAGTCGTCCTTTGACTGGTGCCAGAAGGAAGAGGTGTAGCACAGCGAACGGATCAACTTACACTGAGAAGGGCTTTCAGCAGCTTTCCAGTGCCATCCACAGTGAGGAGAAAGCCATAAAAAAAATCTCATAGTGACTTCCCTGCTTCGTATGGAAAGGATGCCGATGGCCTTGAAGACAAAGGCTGTGTCCTGTCTTCTGGAGATGGCCCGAAAGAATGATGTCACAATGTCCTATACACAACGCTGTACTGTTGTAAAAGGTAGTTGGTCACACATGGAGAGCTCCTCACACCTCAGAGGGATGAGTGTTGCACCAACTAGAGAACAGAAAAAGAGGAACAAATTCACCTCTGCAGTGGGACAGCGAAGGCTCCAAGAAGGTGTCAGCAGCTTTAGGCAGGACATTGCTCCAGTGCAGTCTGCTGAATCCCATTCTAACAGCTCCTGAGAGTTCCTGGGGGACAAACACTGTGTGGGAGGGCAGGAGAGATGGGTGCAGATCCCATAGTAAAGTCCATGGTGCTTGGCCACAAGCGTGCCCTTACCTAGTGCACTCCAGCTGAGAAGCAACGGAGGAGCAAGCTGCAAGGACTGCACAGCAGCATACTTCTGTCCCCCTGCTCCTCACACCCATTCACACACCTCATGTTACAATCACACGGAAGATCACGCAGAATCACAGAATCGTGGTGGTTGGAAAAGACCTTTAAGATCATCAAGTCCAATCATAAACCCAACACTGCCAATTCCACCTCTAACCCATGTCCCTGAGCACCTCGTCTGTTCAATCCCACCAGGGAAGGTGACTCCACCACCTCCCTGGGCAGCCTGTTCCAACACTTGACAGATGGGTTCATGTGAAAGAGAAGAACCCCTCCAAACACAGACCCAAGCTCTTCCTGCCCCACAGCATCATTCATGCCACACTGCAGCTGTACTGCCCAGAACTCATGGCAAATCTGGCCACCCACGGGTCCTTCCATAAACTCTTCTCCCCATCTTTGGTTCTGGTGTGTCTGTCAGTGCCTTGTACGCACTTTCCTCTAGAAGGAGCGTGTAAGAGTCAGCAGGA